AGCTGATTGTTATGAAATCAATTGTAGTGTTCGACCTCTGACCTTTGACATTCGTAGATCAGTGAGTAAACTTGCTTTAAAAACAAATCGAGGTGCTTGTATTGTAGGTCTAAGTATTTTGGAACGAAATGGATTGAGTGTTTGTACTTTTGTGTTTGTATCTTTTTAGCAGAATCGAAAATTTCAGAATCGTAAGACCAAATTGGTTTTAGTAAGTATGTGTCGGTAGCAAGTTTCTGTCTTATTTTTAATTTTGATTGCGTTCTGGTTGACTAGCATTGCAGTTAACTTTGTTAATTTAAAATCTCACCTTTCTTCTTTATATTTGTCAGTCTTCTATCGAACATAAGTACTAGATTGTCAACCTGCTCTGTTTGCTATAATGAATATTATTAAGTAATACAGCGAATGTTTCATGTCTTATTGTAAATATAATATGTTGGTATTTTTCATAGTTTAATCATATTTTTCATAAACAACAATTACATTTTGAATACATGTCTGAAGGTAATAGAACTGCTTGAAGACACTGCCCCACAACCTAGCGGCGAAAAGCCTCAACAACTCAAGTTCACTGACTCGCTGCCAGATAGCTCTTGGGTAGGAATATTGATCCCGATGCGGCCTCCACCGCAGGCCTTATCAAACCCGCCTCTGTTCCGGCCTTGGCAGCAGTTCCTGTCCGTCTTTGCTAACTTCCGGAAGCTGCGAAACTACAGGATGAAAAAGAAGTCCTAAGGAAAGCAGAAAGAATCAGCAATGGATGCTCTTCAGCACTGGACAGGCACAGGAACTGGCGAGGTCAAGTTGGTCGAGCGTTGCTCGTGTTTAGTGATGCCGGTTCGAGTCCGGCCAATGTAGATTAAAATTTATTTCATGACAGAGCCACGGAATGAATCTCGACCTTTCCACGGTGGTTAGAATAGGTTTGCTTGTACCACTAGAATAACCCTTCCTCCCTCCCCTCTTCCTCTTGGAGTATCAGAAATGCCGAAGTAGGAGTTAATCGAAAAAAAAATACAGTAATTGGCTCTTTGTCCATTGGATTGGATTGGAAATTATTTCATTTTTAGCACGAAAATCAACCATCAATATTTTAATTTATTACTTATCATTTGTCTAATTAAAAGTGAATTATAACTTACCTTAAATTTTTTATAATAAATATTTTATTATCTAAAATGTTTCGTCTAAACAAAAATAGTACATTTCTATTTTAAGAGCCGACGTTTCGTCCGAATTAAACCTGGAACCGGAGTCCAAAAAGGCATCTCATCGCAAGAGAAGATTGGAATCTAAATTACAAAAGTATATGTTACTTTATGTAACATCCAACTTGTCAATCATTTCAGAGTTGTTGCTTTCAAAAATGGCGGCCGATTTAAAGAATATAAGGCCAGTTATTTTTTGAATCGAAATGGGAAACATATTGGAAAAGTTTTTATTTTTTTAAATTTCTACATATGGATTGAAACATGTAAAAATGAAATTATTAATGCGTGTAACCAAGGGAAAACTTGTCGCTGCCAAAAAAGCAAGATTTTTCGATATTTTCGTTTAGAAGATCTGAACGGTGCATCGAAACAGAAAACTCATTGTTTAAGAACTTAAGGTACGTCACATTGTGCGTTGAACGAGTACCTGTGCGTAATAATTTGGAACGAATACCTAAGCGTTCCAAATTTGTCAAAAACTGGCATAGATTACATTACTATAAATGTTCCTCCAGCTTGGAAATGAGTTCCATAAGAGAAAAAGCTCATAGAGTAATAAAAGATTTAGGGTATTAAATTCCGTTTCAACTGAGTACTGTTTTAATGTTTGTCACTTTCTCCACTCAAAATCGGTAATGATAATGAACGGTGGCAAATGATAATGAATGCGTGTCATTTACAATATTTCAACAGTATGGGTATCTATTCTACTGAGTTATTCTTATTTGGAATCTGCTATATATAATATAGGACACTTTTCCACCTCTCAGCAGTGAAGGATTTTGGGAACCGTTGTGCCAAAAGGAACCAAAATTCATAAAGAAACGTATAATAATAATTTAATGCTCAGGCCATTATTATAGGTTCCAGGTCTCTTCTTAAATCTTCCTCCTTTAGCCATCAAGGATCATCCTATCACATTCAGCCCCTCCGTTAAGAGCCTAGGAATCACCGTAGACGAAAACCTCTCCTGGAAACCTCATATCGCCCTCATCTCCTGTAAATCAATAGGTACCCTTAATCTATTTCATCGCTCCCGCATTCTGATGGTACTCGAGTATAGATTGAAGTGACTTCTGAATTCCTGCTTAAGATTTTTCTTGGGTAGTTCGATGCGGCATCATATGTCCCACCTTTACGCCAAGTTAAAGTGGTTCTTCCCTTCTTTCAGCCAACAATAATTTCTTGAATCTTTTCTATTTCAAACGATCAACATCCGACACCCTTCATACATCTACAGTCTCCTACAGTTCAAACCCGTGGTCTATTCCCAGAAAACAAGATCCCTTGTTTCCGACCTTTATATCCCTTCTCATAGAACTAAGACATTTGAATATTCCTTTATTGCCTGAACCACTGCCTTCTGCAATTCTTTAACTATAATAAAAAAATAAGCGGATAGTGAGTTACAGTGAACACTCACTGAAAAGTATTGGAAGGTGGGGTACGGATAATAGGTTTTTAGAAATTCATTAATAGTAATTAAATAGTGGAACTTATTACTAATTATGATTTATATTAGCGGTCAAGAATAAAACAAATAAAAACCATTTATTGGAACCCACATTGCAAACTTTCGTTAGAATTGGAAAAAAAAAAGTATAATGAAAGCCAACATTTATGAAATATTGTACGGATGAAGGCATGCAGTCTAGATGTTTGTAGTTATTTTTGTCCGCAAACCGAATCATTTTTTTCATTGGTAATAAACTTTATTAGTTGTATTTTATTTTATTTGTTTAGTCCATTCTGCATTTTCTAATTTTAAATACATTATTTCCCAGTTGAAAAAATTCTATACCTTGGACTCCCTTGGACAAACGTCTCACTTGGAATATCATACCAGACGAAAATGACAAGAAACCGCTCAACGTTTTCGACTACTTAAGTACTAACTAGACAAACGCTCCAAGCTTAAATTAATTACAAAAGACCCATATATTTGACTATTATAATACCTATTTGGACTTACGCAGTTGAGCTATGGGGCTAAACTAAATCATCGAATTCATCTCGTATCCAATCGTTACAATTAAAAATCCTTTGTAAAATCCTCAATTCTCCTTACTTTGTTACAAATAAAATAATCCATTAAGACCTAAATGTTCCATATGTTTCCGATTTGGCCCGAACCAGATACCCACCCTTCCTTAATAATCTTATTACCATCCGAATGCTCTTGTTTCTAACCTTCCTTCTTCGATCCCTGATGTGTCTGATGGGACCATCCGAGGTGTCTGAAAAAAAGATAAATTTTATTACAGTACCGCCAACGTGCAGTTTCTATACAAGTATTCTCATGTCATCTTATTACTAGGCATCGCATTTACTAGATGTATTTTTGTTTTTATACAGTTGTAAACTTCATGAATAAATAAAAAAAACATCAAGGACCGAGTGATAGGCCGAAAATAAGGCTTATTAATTGACATCCGAATTCCGGATTCATTATTTCATAAAAAGCCAACCTATAAACGCCAGTATTTATACAATCGAATTAATATGAAAAGCATATATATATATATTTTTTTTCTGTTTTTTGTTACTGAATAAAATAAAATAATAAATAATTAGATTTATTTAGTAAGTCATTATAATTATCCAAGCTTAACTAAACCATCTACAGGTTTGTTTTTCTGGACTTGAGTCCTTCAAATTTAAGAAAAGTACGATTATAAATGTCATACATTATATATATATATATATATATATATATATATATATATATATATATATATATATATTTATTTATTTTATTAAAAAGCACCTTAAAAGTTTCAACGACTTTATATAAACAATAAAAAGTATAAAATTTAAGCTTTGTGTCTTATTACGTTATATATAACTTTTTTTGTTGGATAGGAAGCGACAGCTAAAAAATATATTAAATTTATGCTGCTGCTTGAATTATTTACAGGAAAGAGAAAATATTTAAATTAGCAATATTTAGTTGATCATTTCAGATAATCAATTCTTATAATATAAATTTGTGTAAAAACACATCTTCATGACGTTATAATATGGTAATTTTTTGCAGAATCGTTATTTTTTATCATTTTTTTTTCTATAAATAAATAGAAATAAATAAATGGTGGAATTAATTTACCACAATATATACCACGTCATAGAAAAAAAAAAGTATTTTATTTTTAATAAATTATCGTGGTTAATTAACGTACCTTCTTTTTACGAAGTCTAAACCGACAATATTATAACTCATTCATATCAATAAACGCATTTTATAAATACAATTTTGTAAAACCTTTACTTGAAAAGTTGCTAAAGGAAAAGTATCGTCTGTTTATTGCAAAAAGTCACTAAATAACATTTCATAATATCCGATCACAAAGAACTTTGATGAATTTACTTAATAAAATTTGTAATAGTTATAACTATATTTTGTATATAAAAGGATTTATGTTTTTTTTTCATCAATTAATCAGGTGGAAACTCAGGCCATTTATCAAATTAACTCAGGTCGAACAAAAAAAAGTTCAGCTTCATCAAAAATCTACTTAAAATTAGTGAACTTTTACAACTACTCATTTTAATATAAAAGTTAGATTTGAAAACTGAGCTTTGATCAAATTTTAGATTATTTTCATTGAATACCTCTCCGTTTTCTTTATTTACACTCGAAGATAAAAAGAGGAGTTCGTTATAAAACTCATAAAATGAAATTTTTTAAAAAATCCCTACCATCTCTAAATGTCAGAGGGTAATTGGGTTGGTTCGCAAGATCCCCTCCCACGCTCTCCTCAACGCCTTCATTCATCGAGTCAGTCCCTGGCCGCCTACCGACGGGACATGCGCTCGAACCGTGGGGAACCTACGCGATGTGGTGGGTCCTCGTGCTGTCGCTCTCATTGGCTATTATAATGTTGTTGATGATGCTCTTCTGCTGCGACTGGAGGACCAATAAGATTTGTTCCTGTTCACACCAGCCTAGTGTGCCTGTTGCCTTCAGGGAAGACGGTCTTGAGGAGAGGTGGAGGATGGTTAGTGCCCTCAGTGACGAAGATGTTGAAGAGAGGACCGAAACTATTGTGAGCCTCGATCCTAGCGAACTGCCAGGAGATTTGAACCGAGTCAGTTTTGTTTAAAAATAAAATGTTATTTTAAATTGTTATATATTTTTAACTAAAAATAAATACTTATTTTTTAATATTTTCAATACTTTTTAGCAAGAAACCTTTAACATATTCCTTATTCTATATAATTTTCGTGATTGGCATCAAGATCTTATATCGCTACTGTTAAGGCATGTAACAATTTTTCATTCTCATTCTATGGCAATAGCAGAGGAAAATAAAAAATGAAATTATACTAACAAATCATGAAAAATAATAAGTTTTTATGCTCTCCTGTAAAAATACTCCATTTTTACATATTTTAATATTGTATACTATTTCAAATATTCTATTTTCGAATTTTTTTCAAAAACATTATTAATATTATACTTTCAATAAAAATATGGTTGGTGGTATGTGTAAATATAGTAATATTTGGCGCTGCAATAAAACCAACAATGGTTTAAAAAATAAAATTATAAATGTACAGTAAATTCGTAGCTTTTTAAACAAAATAAATATAAGATTTAAACAATTCATTCAATATAAATTATATCTATGCTATAAGTCTATTGGTTATCTAATCCAAATAGCACTAACATGCACTAATTTATTTTATCTCTCAGTACTGTTAATTAGATTACAGTATGTAAATGCTTTGCTGGTAGGATATTCCATTATTATCAGAACGCTTCATTTATTCACTGTAACTATTCAGTCATTTTTGTGATATTTCTAGTTGGAAAATTTATAATATCTGTATAGATAGTGATATATTTGATTCCAGAGAATGTGATTGCAGTATCAAAATATAGAAATGTGAATAAAGGTATAAACTTTCCCAATATAAATATCACTAACAAACATGTTGAAATTGGAGTCATTCGGTGAACTGAAATGCACAAGTGTACTGTTATTTGTGTTCATAATATATTAAAATTGTATATAATTATGAACATTTTTACGAGATAAAGATACGGAAAGTCTGAACGAACTCGTTTTAATTCTTTTCTTTAAAAAAAATTTGGATTTTTCCAAGGAAGAATGATAACCATGATTTTAGAGTCTTTATGGGTCCACTTAACACTTATACCTTCACTTTAAAAAAAAAAAAAACAGCGGAATTGGTATATTAATATAATAATAACAAACTAATCTCATTGTCTTGTCAATAAATAATAAAATTCTAAATTAATTACAGTGTTGAGTTAGATTTAACATTGAATTTTTGATATAGATGGATCGAAAAAAGTCAAAAATATTATACTATTCCCAAATATGTGCTATAATAATATATTCCATAGTTAAAATATAATTATAATTCTCATTTGTAGTTTTATTTGCACCTCTGAATATAATTTTGGTATGGTTAGTCAGAAACCGTTTATTTAAAATGCTGAATTATAAATTGATATCAGCATTAATAAACAGACACGTGTATGTTCTTGTTAGTTGTTGACTCTTCGTTCTAGCTCGTTATAACACGAGATGTTAACAGTTAAATGGACCTCCTAATTAACGTTTTAATTAACTCCTTCTGCATTTAGCTCATATTATCTTTTGTTGTTTGTTTAAATTTAAATAAAATATCTATTTTTAATTATTATAAAATTAAATGATACTGTAATAAAATTATAATGATCATGTAAGTAATACTAATTAAGTAATTATATTCGAAACTTTTTAGATAATACGTTGAGTAATAAAAATGCGTCTTCAAGAAATTCAGTAAGATGGCGTAGGAATATTTAAAAAAAAATAATTACTATAAATTATAAATTTAGTATTAATAATAAAATGGAGCAATAGTAGAAGAGGATCAAGTCGGGAGGAAATAATATTTATAAGCTTCAGGGCCATTGGGAATTATCTAATGGATATCTTCTCTGTGGCCTGGAAGCTCCTACTTGTGTTGAGTGTGGTACTCCTGCTTGAAGTATGGCACTACTGGTTGAACTCCAGCAGTAGGCACCGATAAGAAAAAAACTGAAGTTGAGTTACAATATACGAGAAATTCTAGAAGATTCTGAAACTGGTGTGAAATCTCTTATGGAATTCTGAAAGGAAATTAAGTTTTACTATTGAGTGTATAAATATAAGAAATCTTAATGACGCTTCTGGGCAGAGGCATTACCACAATAATATATATATAAATTTAAATAAAAATATTTGAAGTTAGAAAATTAAAAAAAAAAAAAATTGTGTAAAAAATATTTCCATCTGATTAAAAAAAAAAAATCAAAATATTCATATTGAAAGGCATCGCTACAAAAATCACGATTCGTCAAGATTTTTAGTAATATAGTTTGATCAGATCATTTATGATTTAAAAAATATATCGTTAGTGTTCTCTAAAAAGGCAGATGCAACAATTTACTTTTTTAAAAGTGTGCATGTATATTGGACCAAACATTTTAAAAAGTGGTGCTCCTCAGAATCGGACATTTCCGGTTGAGTTTTGAGCTCTACCCGATGACAAGGGGAGACTCTCCTCAATGCCAACTAGATAAATGACTCTCACAGTGAGCCATATCTTTCAGGAGTGTCCTCGCTACAAAAGAAAGATGGGAAGATGTGGTGTACTTCATCAGGTTTGTGAAGCGTTAACTGATAACGAGCAGTGTATCAATAGTACCATTGAATTCATTAATACCATATGGCTAATTCAATTAATCTGAATAAAACTATTTTTTTCTCAAAAATTTGTAATACATTGAGTTAATTTTTATATACTTTATAATTTTTTTTTTCTTTTCTTCTTCCTCTCTATAGTAAATTATATTTTTTTATTATTCCTCTTTAAAACATGTTACATGTTACAAAACAGTAGTTTTGAGATTGAAAAATAAATCAATTAGTGTAATTTTAATGATAATGATAGCCATCAGCAGTTTTTTACCTCTAAACCCAAAACAACAAAACGAAATGCTTTAGTCAGTGTAAGATATCTATAAGAGAGATGGACAAAATTCCAAATTCACCTAATTTATATAATTTTACATAACCTACGTTATATTTTACAAGATACATCCAGAAATAAGATATTTACAACCACTTTTCTCTCAAGTCAAACTGTATCTAGTTCTTGTACAGTCTGGAGAATTGAGTACATCAATCAAGAATCACACCCATATAGATCAGAATTAAGTCCAAGTGCTCAAAAATCACTACAGAGAATAACTTAGCCATAACACGCTACATTTTTTTAAATAAACCCTGAGAAAACATCTTCTCTTTCGCCTGCAAAAAAAAAAAAAAAAAAAAAAACTATACAGAAAATTTAAAGTTCATCGAATAGGGTATAAGCAGTTTCTTCGTATTATAACAAAAATTATGTTTTTTTTTTATTTACAGGCTATTACAGCGTTGCTATCAATACAAAGCTATTTTAATAAATGGGAAAAAAATAATTTTTTAAGATGAACCCCCGATTTTTATTTATATTACTCATTTTATCCCAACCTCCTAAAAAAAAATCTTCTACGGAGACCGATTGTGTAATTTTCCAAACTTCGATGATTGTTGACACCTATGAAGAACCAACCCTGTTGACTTTGTAAAGTTCTTAGGGACTTGTCAGAGAGTTTGGCACGACTCGAAGGTCAAGATGTAAACCCAGTTGCCCTAACCCGGTGGCGGTCAAAGGTCACAGTGATTCACCTGTTGAAGGTCGAATGAGTCAAGAATTCTCAGGAAATCGTTTAGTTTGTAACTGCCTAAGGGTTTACTAGTGTTTCTCGATCAATAGTTTTGGCTTGATTTCATGAGTCATGCTTGGTGATTCATCCCGACAGGAGGAGCAACCCTCCCCTCCCTCCTCCCATTCACCATCCCTCCACTTGTTGAAGGGTCAGCTCCAAAAAGATATTACAATTCTGGATATAAGAATCTTCTTTTTAAAATTTGGTCTTATTTGTTGTTATAAATAAGTTATCCTTAGTGTTATTATTACTTATGCATTAACAATCAATTAAAACATTAATTAGAGATAGATGAGCAAATCAGGAAAGCTTCGTAACTCACAGCAGTCGGTCTAAAGAAGAGAGATGAATTTCTGCTTAAATGATTTATTGAAAGCTCTTGTTATTGAATGATCTAAATATCGAGAAAATAGCATATTTATCATTTAATAAGATAAAGTAATATTGTCTGTAAATACGCTCAACCGTGAGGTTTTCCCTTTTAACTAGTTAATTAATTATGAGTATGCAGTTTATAGAAGCTGGGTATGCCCAAGGAGAGTTTCTCGATACTAGAGTCGATCGACGGCTGACGAAACAAAATAAAAAAATACCTGCTGTTTAGGCAACCTTTCTAATTAAGGCAAATAACTCTCATGAGTTTCAATAAGGCAACATTCAAAATTATGGGCAACATTCTACTTTTATGCAGTGTACTGTATCTTAATGGATATAAAAAATAGCTTACCGTCTTTATGCCAACTTACATCTTATGGTTACATTGAGGGCCATCAGGTGCCGGTGGTGTGATCAGAGTCGCTGCCAGTGAAGAAGTGACCCGAGAAACCCAGCAGTTCTTAAGGCTTAAGTATTATCTTTTAGATCCTCTGATCTGCCAAACCATTTTTTGTACAAACACGTGCCATCAGCCGGATTCGAACCCACGACCTCGAGAAGTCAGTGCTTATCCACTGAGCTACCAAATTGATAACTATTAATGCTTATATTTATCCAAATCGATAAATAGTTATAGCAAAAGATGAATGTAGACAATTTGTGACCAATCATGATTTGTCTTTCACCAATCCAAAGAAGAAATGCGAAACAATTATACTGCTTTCCTTCAAATTACCGAATAGTGAGTGGTACAGACTATCTTTTATCAAATTATTAACATCCGTCTGAAACTTCATAAATAGCTTCATCATATCATAACCTACAAATATTTTATTTAGGAAAATTCTCAGAATTTGGGGCGTTTTCAATCTGGAGTTTGGCAAACTTTATCTATTTAATAAACTAAAAACTCAGTAATACCCATTCACTTTCAAGATAAATCGTAAGATAATATCATCACAAAGTAGAAAAAAAAGGTGGCCTACAAAAATATTGGTCTCTTTGACATGAGCTCCACTTCGAAAAAGTTGAAATAAAAAGGTTATCAAGGCCAAATGCCCCAATACTTTTGTAGGCCACTTTTTTTCATATTATCTTACGATTCAAGTGGAAAGTAAATGGGTATTCATGAGTTTTCATTACCTAATTAATTAGACAAAGTTTGCCGATCTCCAATTCCGAGAATTTTCATAAATAAAATATTTATAGATTACGATGAGATGAAGCTACTTACGAAGTTTCAGACGGATGTTAATAATTTGATAAAAAAGAATCTTATCACGGACTAGAAACTTGGACTGAATAAAAAATAGTTCAGTAGTAAAATAATAGAATTAATAAAGTAGTATTAGTTTGGTGAATAAAAAATTCATTAAAAATATTTTATAACATAATTAATTCTTTGGAGTTATATTTTCTTTCCTTTAGCTATCTCGTCTGCCCTTTATACATTTTCTTTCTTTAAATGATCAAAGAAAAGAAGTAATAAAATTCGGGCGGAAAAATCCTCTCTCTTACTTGAAGGAATGTAACTTCTTACTTTAAAAGAAAGTTGAAAAGGCTTCAGTCAAATTCATTGTTATGGGCCGAAAAGAAGGGGATTCTTTCCTCAAATGTTTTCAACTAAAGCTATGTTTTATTTCCTACAATGGAAAGTCAATACAAAGACTTTCACTGTCTCTAGTACCTTTAAATTAAAAATTTACTTTTTTATTTCCATGCATCGGGTTAGTAATAATTAATTATTTTATTAATATATTGAAATATTTCATTAAAAAATATACTTTTTTTACTCAATACTTAAATTGAAAACCTCGTAAATTTGTGGAATAGCAAGTGCTGAAGTAATCGGAAACGTTTAGCGGTTTCTTGTCAGGTATGGGTGTAATTTAAAACAGCAAGAATGTCCTCTAAACAACGGAAACACTAAAAGCATAAAGCGTTTTTAATTTATAAGAAATTAAAAGAATTTCCATTGAGAAATGTCGAAGAAACATTTTCATTAAATTAAAATTAGAAAAAAGATGTAATAAAAAAAAGAATGTCATTCAATGTATGTTCATCCCACATCACAGATAGAATTTGAACAACTTTGAGATCATAATCACTTTCTACTTAAAAAATAAACAAACCAGAGAGATGCATAGAAGTTTGAAACACGTTGTCCAACGAAGAATATCACAAGGAGAAAGGAAAAATACCAAACAATTTCTGTTTATCCTTCTAATGAACTTTATACCCACCGATCGGAAGATATTCCTAGATCTTTTCCTACCTAACCTTTCCTGTCTTCGTTGCCACTTTTACACAGCATTTGACATAAATGGAGCAATGTTTATTTTTTAAATTACAGAGTAACCACGGAGGTATGTAAAATATGTTATCTTCCACAGGTTAGGAAATGATCGGACACACACAAAAAATAGGAAAAAAATAAATAAATAAAACAGCAATGATTTAATCTCCGTTGTCAGTTTTCTATTACACAAAAGTGTTGTAAATTTAATTTGAAAGCTTTAATGATAACAGAAACACAGTTGTTGATTTAGATCGCGATTAGATCTGACATGTCGTTTTACTTTTGTTGATTTAATCCAACAATTGATTTTCTGCATCGTTTAAAATTGATCTGCACAATGTTATTTAAATTCTAGATGTTTGAAATAAAAAAATCTAAGACAATTTTACTACACAATTAATTTTAAGTAAATCTCATTCTAACCTCATATCCTTTTGTCTAAGGGAGGTATAAGGACGGATGCATCAGGAAAGATAAGATAAGAAATAAATGGACATGAAATCACTAAAGAATATTACGGAGAAACATAGGCTGAGATGAAGTGGACAGGTTAAACAAATGCCAGATAAAAGTGTTCAAATTAGTTTATGAACCTAAGAAAGATGGCAAGAGAGGCCGAGGAAGACCAGGCAGGACATATAGCGGAGGACGTAGTCTGAGACGGCTCATGATGAGATGTTGACTGGAATAAGTTGAACGTAGACTAAACCAGGCTAGGCTCTGGTGGCCGATCTTGTTAAGCAGTTTCTCTATGTATCATTTTCGGAGTCTAGAGGTGACGGATCGAATCCGGCTAGCGTTAAAATTAATTTTAATTCAAGGTTTAAATTAATGTCGTGGTAAACCAACGGAATGTTGCAAAACCACACTTTGGTTAGATAAGTTTGATAGTACTTCGATAACAAATTGCACTCCCCCCTCCCTCACTCGTCTGCCACGGAATGAAATGTAGGAATTAAAAAAAAACAAAAAAAAACTTGAGACTAGTTCTATAAAAAGGAACCTCACAGTGAGTGCTTTGCGGTGGAGAGGGCTGGATTATGATGATGAATCTGTAAGTTACCCTTAAACCACTAGACTTCCCTTTTCCAATTCATACCACTTTTAATTATTTCTCTTTTTTTTTTAATGAATCAATTTACATGGATATGTGTTCATGATAAAAAAAAACTTTTATATAATTATATAATTATATTTTATATAATTTTGTATTATTTCAATGTGAACAAAAACAAAAGAAAAGACAAAAAAAGAGAAAGATCAGAATTACTGGGTTATTACTTTTTACTACGAATGATGAATAGTCCGTGGTACAGATACCTTTCTATCAAATTATTAACATCCGCCTGAAACTTCGTGAATAGCTTCATCTCATCGTAACCTACAACTATTTTATTTACGAAAACTCTTGAAATTGGGTTATTTTCAATCTCGAGGTCAGCAAACATTTTCTATTTAATTATTTACAACAAACTTGTAAATACCCATTATATTGGCTCTATTCCTCTGTGCGAGTGCGTTGAGGGTATACAGAATGTGGAGCATATCCTACCAAGGATTATGGTCTACTCCCAGCAAAGGAGGGTGATCTGGCCCTCTGCAACTGAAGTGGAAAGAAAACTATATGGAGGCCTGGAGAACCTGAGGAAGACTTCTTGATTTTAGTTCCTGACCTAGTCATATAAGGAATAACGCAGAATAATAATAATAATATCCTTTGATTTCCATTAAATCGTAAGATAATTTGGACAAAAAAGGCCTAATGGCCTAAAAAAATATTGGACCGTCTGGCCTATATAACCTCGTTATTTTGAAATTTTGGTGGTGTGGATCACAACACCAAAGGGCTCAATAGTTTTGAGACCATCTTTTTTTCTCGATTTTATGCTCAAATTATCTAGAGTTTTTGATTACCTAATTAAATAAACCAAGTTTGTCTAGCCCCAGATTGAACACTCCCCAATTCCGAGAATTTTCGTAAATATAATAATTGTAGGATATGATGAGAAGAAGTTATTCACAAAGTTTCAGGCGGGTGTTAATAATTTGATAAAAAGGGGTCTGTACAACGCTCTAGTAGTGAAGAGGTCTCCAAACTTTTTGACATACGGGCAACATTGAGAAATTCACTAAGTCACGTGGGCCGCATTGAGGCCTCCACTAAGTTCCGCGAGATATGGTTGGTTGGTCGTGTAGTAAAGGCGTAAAACCTGTTGGTCATCAACGCCGTTAATTAAAATTATATATTATTATATCTTTTGGTTATGAATATTAAGGGTTGGATAAAATTTAAAAAATGTAAAATGCACGTTATGGTTAAAAGTTGTTAATTGTTATTAAAGTTTAGTTAGGTAAAAAAGAAAAAGAAAAAAAAAAAGGGTCAGGAAACAATGGTAAAAGGAAAAAAAGAGATGGGAGTGCTGCGTGAGACGTTCAGATATTTTTTAAGGTTCCTTCTTCGGAGAGAAAACATATGATTTTGCCTAGGGTTTTTTTTTCATCATTTCCCAAAGCAGCCGATGTATTTGCTGCTATTCCCCTTATGTTTAATAAAAGGTACAACACTCGAAGATATGGCCCACTGTCATTCTCTCTCCACACTTCCGACAGATAGGCGGGGTTTTTTTTCTCAATTAAAGGAAGATGCGTAAGCCTAGTATGACCTATTCTTAGTCGCGTAAGGACAACTTCCTCCCGACTGAAACTGCTCCGTGGTTTCACTTCCTTTCTTATCGCCTTCAATTTATTTGGAGTGCCATTGTCCCATAATGTCTGCCAATCCTGGTGTATTGGATGATGTATTGGCCAGTTCGGACGTAGTCAAGAAGGCTTTACCACGTCCTGGAAGGGCAAGAGCTTCTTTTGCTGCTCTGTCAGCCATTTCATTCCAACCGATGCCTACATGACCAGGCGACCAAAAAAGATGTACTAATGTTCCAATGTTACTCAGCTGTTTTATGAGCCCCAAAATAATATACATACTATACTATATATATATATATATATGAAATAAATGACACTTCAGCTCTGAAATGAGTTTTCTAAGAGACACAACTCATGTAGTAAATGTAGAAACCTTCGGTTTTTGCGATTTACTTTATTTCATTATATATATTATTATATATTTCATTATATTATACAAGTGTCCTTATTTAAAACAGATTGTAATATTTATCCATAATAATAATAATAATAAAAGGCTTAGGTTCGATGCCGACACCACCAATCGCTTATTACTACACACCTCCCTTTACCGTTTGCCGTCCAAACCCAGTACCTTCAGATTGGCTTTAATGCAATCTTCCCACCTTCGCTTAGTTCTCCTCTTCGGACATTCAGTACAGCAAATATTAACCTTTTAGGAATTCTCTCGTTACTAAGCCCAACAACTTTACATGTCCATTTGATTCGCCGTGATGAAATTACCTCAACTATATTACCGGAATACAGTGCACGCAATTCGGTGTTGTGTAACCGTCTGAACTGTCCGCTTAACTGATCATTCTTCGGTCCGAATATTCTACGTAATACTTTATTTTCAAACACCTTAAGGCGCTGCTCATCTCTTAATGTAAGCAGCCAAGTTTCGCCTCCATAAAGAACTGTAGGTAAGATAATGGTTTTATAGATTCTATTTTTTGATTCCGGGACAAGAGGCGAATATTTATCTATAACCAAGTAAATAAATGTGATTTCTTATTTTTAAATATTATTCCAATTTTACCAAATAATCAAAGAAACCTTCGAGGGCTGGTCTGGAGGTGACTTATTTTACGTGGTAAATTACCTTTACAGTTTTTGAAGGGGCTGAAGCCCGACTTTTTGGATAAACTCTTTCGCTCGAAGTTAATTCAAGTTTCATTAATCAATTTTAATCGAGAAGAGTTTTCTTTTTACATAATTTATTTTTTTATTTCAGCACCTCTTCGGGCCTGAGGACGGCCAGGACCTGCCGGCACCGATGGTGGAGCCACCTCTTAACCACCACGGTCACTCGCTTGAAGTCGAAGCACAAGTCAATAATCAGGTAGGAGATAATTAATTTAATAAAATATTTATTGGCTACGTTAATTGCTTATAATAATTTATTTTATCTTTGTTTTCATGTGATAATATTTTGTAAAAATTGTTATTTATTCAATTACAATTAATAAACGACTCTTCATTACGAAAATCACTCACAGCATGAAATAAAAGAGGAAAAGAAAATTTTATTCTGAGATCTTTAGTCCCTTAAGAATAATTATAATGAACAATGAAATGATATTAATCTGTCTTTGGAAAACGATCAATAATTAATTAAGTTAAATAGTTATCTGATTCCAAAACTAAAATAAAAGAAAATACAAGTAAACATTATAGGAGTATGTTCTCATATTTTCACCACTAAGCAATCTATATAATAGATAAGATAACAGTAAAAAGAAGCTGACAGCTTAAAAATACTAATCTGGCATGTATTCGGAAGATTGATTGCTGAGGAGATGGAAAAATAACTCGTGTTTAAATGAAGTTTTGCGTATGAAGGTAATTAGGGAATTTCAAAACAAGGTAGTTCGTATGACGAAGGATTTTTTAAATAACAATCATCTATGTGAAGGAATAAACTGATTTGTGAACTGGGATATCGTGTTGAACGACTGGACAGAGGAACAAGGGATAAGCAAATCAAGAGAGTTTTTTAGTTGTAAAGGTTCGGAGAAGGAATACACCTAGGAAATATCGCCGTCAGAAAACTGGATAAAACTAATTATGATGGGACTTATGTCACTTATCGATTATCGACAATTACTGAGAATCGTGACAGTTTCACTTACATTTTTAATGTAAATATCGGCATATCATATGAATATTTAATCCAATAATTTTAATATTTATTAGTTAAGTCATTTCTGTTTTGTTTTAAACAAGCTTCGTGTAATTAATTCAGGCCTATCTCAAATATTTTTATCAATAGATTTAATCGATCTAATAAAAAATATTATGTTGTTTGACATAATTTAATTTTTTTTATATTAAATACAAAAGTAATATCTGGAGCAACTACATTATGAGACTAATAATGGATTGTCTGTTAGCTGGTTGTGGTTTATTATTGACTTTTGTATCTGATTATTCTTTTGATATTTTTATGAATGTACTTATTTTCTTTTTTTACTTTCCTACCTATACAAGGTAAGGAAAGTATTGCAATCGGGTCAAATTTCCGATATGCGGTTTTTGACGGAACTAAACATTTCAGAGCCCCTGAGTCCGAAAAACACATTTTTAGCCATTGGTCTGTCTGCCGGTCTGTCTGTCTGTCTGTGCCAAGATTTTCTCGGAAACTACTGAACCGATTTTGTTGCTTCTTGTTTTATTTAATAGGGTTTCGATTACTGATGCCTGTGCCAGAAACTCGGTGCTCCATGCGCAATAGCTTGCGCGCAAAAACATGTTTTTCAATAGACTCCTAGCTCAAAAACGGCTCTAACGATTTTGATAAAACTTTCCTGTAATGATCTAATCATTCTTCTTTGAATTTTCTTATATAGACCGAATTCCCGAAAAAATTCAGGTAAAAAAGTTATAAAGAAAAGAAAAATATTATGGGGCCTACCTCCCTAAGTATACCTTATACGGTGAAATTTATAATAAAACTTTTGAAAGGTAATTAAATTACCAACAAAACAAAAAAAAAAATCATCGGAATCGAACCAGTATTAGCGATGATACAACTTATTCTATTTTTTACACATTTTTTTAACTTATTACTTTCCCACCTATACTATGTAAGGAAAGTATTACAATCGGGTCAAATTTTAGCCATTGCCGTTTAGCCTGTCTTTTGAAAGATAATGAAATTCCCTACAAAGCCATTTAAATATCGTTCATTTTAACAACTATTAACAAAGTTACTGCTATTCAATTTCCAATGTAAGATTACGGGTTCATATCCTAGTGTCAGAAAGGGGTGAATGAGAGAAAAAAAGTGAAAGTAAGAAAATCTGTTGCCCGCATCACACAAGCTTCACTATTTCCTCTACTTTTAACAGAAATTATTGTTTGAAAATACGAAGCTACTGCAAAAAGTTTTTGGTCAGCAATATTAGGAAGTATTGAAATTTTTACACTGACCTACCTTAAGCCGTTTTACATTGCTTTAGTTTATCAAATAAATCGTACACAAATCTTTTCTTTGATCAATATTCAGAAAAATAAATCTAGTTCAATTATTTTTTGTTTATTCATGAACATATGTAAAGATATAAAAACTTTTCTGAAATAGGTCGTGTGAATGAACACACCAGATTTTTTTTTTTTTTTTTTGTTTTTTGATATTTAAATGAATGTAGATAGATAGATAGATAGATAGATAGAAAAAAAAAACTTTATTCTGGGACTAAGTCCCTTTAGAATAACAATATTGTACAAAAGAGTAGAATATTACTGGCCTAAAAGTTTGAAACAATAAATAAAATAGATAAAATAAAATAAAAAGTAAAGAAAACCTTAGGTGCACAAGCTATATACAATACAGATAAAACTATGTACAGAGCATTTAAAACTATGAACAAAACAATTAAAACTATGAACGAATCACTTGAACTATGAACAAAACTATATATAAGGGTTGAACAACATCAATATACACTTTGAGAAATAAAGAAAGAAAAAGAGATAGAATGAGTTCATATCATAAAAAAATCTTTACTTGAATATATATATAAAAATAAACAATTAATTATAATTGAATAAAAAAACAAAAATGTTTGTATTGAAATTCCTATGTCGATAGTAGGAAATGCATGTACTATCCCTTACCAAATATTATGATTATATGATTGCTACACAATACATATATACTATTAATAATTAGCTGGTATCTGACTGTTTTTGGAACAGGAATTGGAATTTGAATTTGTTCAAATTCCGATTCCTCAAACCAATTGAGGAATTGGTTTTTGAATGTGTATAGGGAAGGGGCATGTCGAATTTTGATCGGGAGAGAATTCCAAAAGTTGACAGAGCGGGCTATAAAGTAGTTTTGGAATGAGGCAGATCTATGAGAAGGGATATGTACATATTTTCTTTTTCTTGTTTTTTGCCATTACCTTGTGCACATGACCATTTGAAGGATGATTCTTCATTTCTATTTCTATACGATTTCTATAATAGAGGATACCTTCTTTTCTTTTTCGATTATTAAAATATCAGGCCTATTATAGGGGTTAGTGTGATCCTTAACTGTAGGTTGATCCCGGAATAGTTTGACATTACGCTTGGAGATGATTGATTCAGTATGATTTTTTTAATACTGACAGTAGTTATTTCTCAGTTTCAGCTTTTGAGACATGGCATGATGCACAAATTTAGCTGCATTGTTATGCCTCAGTAAGTATTCTTATTCCGGCATTATTGTGCATTATTATTATTATAGATTACAAAGTATATACGAATATACATGCTATATGGCAGGATTCAATTTCAATTTTTTTTATAATCTATTATGATATGAAAACTTTGACACCTCGGGGACACAAGACACCCCTCGAATCACCCTCTCCGACCGGCCACAAGATGTGCACGTTATCGAGCGAGACGGTGGCTCTGTCTGGACGCCAAGGGCCGCACTAGGCAGTTGTGGCTCGGCCCCCCGCACCATTGGACAGGTTAGCTATCTTCGGAACATCACCATCTAGTTGTAGTACATAATATCATTGCACCGCCATCTCCATCTTGTAAAGTAGTTTGAGCAGTTTCCTCTATCATCAAACCGGCCGCCTGGGAGGGCAGCTGTTCTGCTTCAAGTTGAGCGTGGATCACTTCTCGATTCTGTACGAGTTCTTGTAATCAGTGTACAGTAAAAACTAAATTATTTTTAACTAATATCGAGTCTTTGGTATGCTGTATGGTACATTTCTGTTGTGCACTTATGTTGACAAACACTCAAGGTATCTACTATTGATTTAAACTGTCAAATATATGAAATAAAGGATTATCATCTATAATCCTCAGTGTCTTATAAATTATCATATGTCTATATATATATTTTTTTTAAACATAAAATCCAATGTATATAATACACAAATGTGTATCTACTTAACAGGTAATGCATTTCATTATTAACAAGTGTTAATAAGTAAAACATGACCATTTCGAAACATCTGTAACTTATAATCGTATATTACAATTCAAACACCAGGGACGATCCTAAGTACTTTTTTATAATTTGTATTAGTAAAAATTTATTTATATTAATCTTTTAATTAGGTTATTCTAAAAACTATTCAAATCAATCAATTCTATCGCATGTTATTCGTTTTAAAAATAGTATCAGTGTCATTCCAATAAAGCTCAACTGTTGATAGAGGCTCTGGTAACCTTCCACCCTTGAACTTGACTACTAATTTACGATATTTGCATTTCGAAATCATTATTTTTATACCATTTTTATGTACTCCTCTAGAGATCGTAAATAATAAATAAAATAAAAAATATTATCTTAGGTAAATATCGTGCGTTTTTAATTTACTTAAGTATATAGAAGAAATTCGTATACTTGGATCTTGTAACTCGTAAGAAATTAATTAAGAGTTTATTAGTTTTTGATACCTGATAAAAGTATCAGTATTAAATTTAAATTATCAGTGACGTTTCTGCTTCAACCCATCTGTTGATATCACTAGGCACTGCCTACCTTATCATTGAACTTGAATTGGGAAATTATTCGTCAATTTTATAACAATAAACTTATGAACTAAATAAGAAACAAAACACTTATTAATAATAATAATATAGAAAACGTTTCGGATTTAATCAATACGTGCCCGAATAAATCAAATAAGATTTCAGTATAACACAATGTTGTTATTCCGGTACGTATCGCATACCTTTTTATACATTTTTGCTTTCTTCGTATGGATCGCATCACTAATAATGTATCACTATTCTACTATAATCGTGACGGGACTCATGTCCGTTTACTTTTCCGTTACCTGTATTATTGAAAAGTTTTCTGAAGGGCCAGAAGAGTTGCCTGACAAGGATGAAAACGAGGTATGTACTAGTAACATATCTTGAAAAAAATAGATCTATTTTATACTAAAGATTAAAAAGTAAGCTATATTTTTTTACTCTTTACTAACCTTAGGCTGCGGTGTTGCGCCGAGAACCGTTTATTTATTTATTTGTTGATATCTTTTTTGTCTAATTTTGTTTATAAAGGGACTAATATATGATGCGTCGTTTACTATATTTATAACCTTACTGTTGAGGTAACATAAGCAAGATGGCTCCCCAAAAAACGTTTAATAGTGTAAAGTAAGGCTGCATTTCACCATATTTTTGTCTTTTTTACATTGCCTACGTTTCGGCAACGATGTCATTTTCAACCCAGCTAAGACTCAACCCAATTAAGGTTATAATTTATACAATGTTGATTTTTAAAAAATTACTGATATCACTATCATAGCATAATTAGTTTTGTATGAAACTAATTGTGTATTGGGTCTTACAGATGGCTTAAAAATAGCCAACAAGTAACCAATGTAAAAAAGAAAAGAAAAATGGTAAAATTATACAATCATACTTTATATTATTTAAATCAAATTTACCTAAAGCAAACAACACAAATGAGTTAAATAATTTTAAAACCTAATTAAACACACCCAAAATTATTTAAATTTCAATAGGCAGAAATAACTATCGTATTAATTTAAAAAAAAAATTAATTTATCTAATAATTAAGCAATTTTTCATGATATATTTGTCACCTCACGGTTTCATTACAAATTCATTCCGTTAATTATTCACGTATTGAAAATCCGAAATGGTATTCAGTTTATTAAAACATTAAAAGTATACCCTATCACATTTTTGTGTTTGTTCGGGGAGTCAATTATCCTTAACTCTGAGCTATTAAAATTTGTTTCTTAGTTACTAAATTATTTAATTAAAAAATAGAACTGGTGTACTTTACCTCATGGGATCAGATTTTACTTATTTATTTTTAAAGCCCAATGGAGGGAGCTTTTCGACAGATCTATATATTTTTTTACATTTGCCAAATCATGTAAATAAAATTAAACGATGAAATGACGCAATCTTCAATGATACAAATGACCTAATTACAATAGTAGCAACATATCTTATAGCAATAATTTAAAAAAGAAATATATTTTTGTAATCAGACTAATTTTTCTGCCATACTTTTTTTTTTTTTCAATTCAGCCAAATTAGGCAAAATATTGCTTTAATTAATTGATTAAGAACTGCAGGAGTCTAGACTACATTAAGCCTCGATTCAACAACTGGCCCTTAATTGTCGAATATATTTATATTTATTTTTGTTATAATAATACTTTATTTATAAAAATATAGTGAAAACATTGGATCTAATGGGAAATATTGATTTTTCTGCTTCGGTTATAGTAAAGAGGATCTGCTAATCTTTCAGTACTGATTTTTTTCCAACCTCGAATGTATACATCGATACTGTTACAGACATGTATTTTTTTTTTTTTTTTTTAATAACATCCACAATTTTTAAATAGCATGATATAGTCACTACAGCAACATGTAATACTAAATTACTGTGAATTTAACTTTTTTTCTCCAATATACCCCTTTATATAGGTGTTTATATGTTATGGAAATAAGTATAAGAAAGGGTTGGAATATTGGAATATCACTTATTTTTTCATACATTTTTGTTAAAAGATTTTTTCGTTGGCTTTATGTAAATAAAGTCTGATAAAAATGCCAGATCAATATCGATCGAATGGACTAACAATATTTTTTATCCGTAATAAAGGTATATACCGAATATTATCGCTATCTGTTTTAATTTTTTCTGTATATTTAATCAGTATTCATCGAAAGTTTGAAAAAAAAGGTGTGTTTACCGCAACTAGCGCTACCTGTTAGATGGACATGGAATCTTAAGGATGTGTTAGTTCCACCAACCACCGCTAGATCGCTCTTCTACCTCAATTTCTGTGGTTGTCATCTTTCCAATTATCATTTCTGCAAAACCATAAGGTATTTGTAATAATATATTTTTGTTCCCTTCAAATATTTTTCAATTTTGAATTTTAAGCAAAAAACGAGCTAACAGATTTTTAAATTGAAAATTTTATACACTCGACTGGTCAAAAGACCTTTACTAAATCTTTCATTATTTTAGTCTCTTGTAAATTGGCTACAAGTACATATCAGTTATAAGCTTAAAATTAATTGTAACAATTAAAAGAACGAAATAATAACAAAAATATAAAATAAAAGCAATTTAATAGTTGGGAATTTGGGAATTTTTTTATTTATTTTTAATGACTAAAACTCCCGACCAACTCTCTAACTATATTATGAACAATCAAGTATTTCCTCGCCGTTAAAATAAAACTTGTCCCGTTGTAATGAAGGAAACTGTAAAAGCACCAGTAAGATACAATTATATGTCAATTATTGAGGATGGACTAATGCTTATCATAAAAACAAAACAATCAGTTTTGTATTATATATTTTTATTACTGACAATTTGGTCAAACGATGAAAATAAAGTGTACCAACCATAATTATGTTAGATACTGTTTATTTCTTGCAATTATTATTATTTTAAATGTTATAAAGGAAAAAATCCAAACTACAAAGCCCATGAGTCACATATAGGTGAATAATTAACTTTTTTCGCCAACGTTTCGCCAATTCAGTCATCATCAGTTCAGAAAAAACAAGAACTCATACTTTTACCTCACTTTCGATGGCACGACAGTCCTTGCAGAGCCCTCCTACACTATTCTTCGCCATTCGCCCCGGTCCAAAGCCGCTCTTTTCCAACTTCGTCCTCCACCAGGGCGTCCCTCCAGAAGCTTCTTCGGGATACGGCACTCCTCCATCCTCTGCAAATGCCCCAACCACCTAATTCTACTCTTCTTGATGCTGGTGACAATATTCGGGGCCTTGTATAGATCACGTAACTTCTGATTGTTCCTCTTCCTCCACCGACCTTCCTCTATCAAGAGGGGAAAAATCCTTCTCAGGACCTTCCTCTTCCACACGTTCAGTACTTGTTCTGACTTCCTGGTGAAGACTCATGCCTCACTTCCATATGTCATCACTCGTCTAATAAGCCATATATGCAGAAAAAAAATTATTGCAGTTGACATCTTACAGAGCCATCCAAATACATTCTGAAGGAAAGATAAGGTTATATTGACACTGCTACGGAAGGTTATATTGAACAGCTGATTAGCAGGAACACAAGGGGAGGGAAATACGTATAACTAAAATACTGTAATCCAAAACGTGTTAAAAAAATTTAAAAGAAAAAGTTCGAAGGTATATTAACCTCCAACAAAACTCAGTTGATACACGGCCATTCCACAAGTAATATTACTATGGTTAACTATTCACCTATATGTTGGAGATTCGTGGCTTTATATTTTGGATTTTCCGTTCATAAAATAATCACCATATTTCTCTTTTCTAGCATTAGTATTATTTGAAATAAACAATTTTTGAGTTATTTTATTCTTGTACTTAAAAAAAATCATAATTTAATATATTGGGTTTGTGTGTTAATAGGTTTAAATTATATCTAGTGTTTTTATATTATTTTATTGTTCCTGTAAACAACA